TGATCATGCCTCTTGCATGAACACGGACAAAATATTTTCCTTCATATTACATGGGCAATTAGAGGGTAGCAGTTATAAACTGCACACTCTCTACAAGCATGGTTTCAGCTGTGAATGAATGTAGTCAGAGCGAAAAGAGTGTAGTCATTTGCCCATCAAGAGAAAAATAAGGCCATGTCGAACTTGCTAGCTAGAGTATCAGATGCAATCTAACCAGAGCTGCAAAGACCATTGTGTGGGCTAATTTTCCTTTCTTCTTGGCAGGCTAAATTAGTCCACACAGAGTTCCATGATGCACAAGCTAGACTCTTTCCTGTCCTGACCTAGCTTCTTAAATGCTAACAGCACACCTGCAATGTATACAATGTCCTGTTTTTTATCTAAGAGCCTACATGTACATTGCACCAGACACCCAGGTTTGAAAATGATGGCCAGTGTTTGCATTGTGGCCTTTTACACTTCCCTTTGGTTCACACTTGCAGGCATTTGCAATGCACCCTGCAGAAGTGCAGTACTACTTTAAATACTATTATACATTTCTATAGTTTCTTAATGCTGGCCAGCTGCTTAACCAGTTTGGTACAGGTGGCATATAGGTCTGTTTTTGCAAAAACACAAACTCTATATCAGAACAACCTCTACTGGTTCAGTTGGTTCTGAACTTGATAACATTTTCTTCTCCAGCTTCTCTAAAGTTGATGTAAAGTGTTCTGTGAAGTGCCAGTGGTCTATAGGGAAGAATGTGTGGTGCTTATGTGTGTTAATTTAGGCAGTACTGAAACACTTAGTGGGAGCTGCAGGACTAGAAGTTCATAGACTGTGTTGAAATGAAATGCATCTGGGCTTGATTCTCAGTTACATGAAAAGGAATCCACACTGCCTTTCGCCTCTGAAAAGATCTCCAAGAGGCCCAACTTAGTTATATCCACTTTACCCCTTCTTGTAATGAGGCCCTAACATAATTGAGAATCAAGCCCTTGTTTTTAACTAATTGGGTCTGACCTTATACACCTTATCTCCAGTTGAAAAAAGGAACATTGTTTGTAATCTGTAAAATGATCAAGACTATATTTTTAGCACATTTAAGGATATCAAATTCAAAAGGCTCCTTATTTTTAGCTTGTAACATTTGTTTCCTTAGAGACATAATTAACTAACACTTTGTATACTTACAGGTGGCTGGAATCCATATAAATCAATGGAAACTTGACAAGAAACTAGGCATCTATGTGTTGCTTCTCTATGCCGTTTTCCTGTGTTTCTCTATATTAATAGAGTTCAATGTCTTCACCTTTGTCAACTTCCCAATGTGCCGAGAAAATCTTTAAATAAGCGACACAAAAGGAGAGAGACTCAGATGTTCTTAACTCCTTGTCCAGTAAGTGACAGGACATTTACATTTCTACTTTCTCTTCATTGATAATTTAAGTGTCTTTCCTGTTTCACCAGTTAACAAGAACTTTTAGCTTTGGAAGGAAAACAAACCTTTCTTGAAACATGCCAGCTCAAGGCAACCAAAACATTTGCCTCCTTTGGATATTGCTGCTCAGAGGTCCCATTTCTCAAAGGTCCCACTTCAGCAGCATTCTTTTGTGGTTTCCCTTCTCCTATATGCAGACAATCAAACAAGAACATTAATAAACTCTCATCTTTCTTTTTCTTTTTTTTTTTTTGGCATTTATTCTCCATGGAAGAAAAGAAGGCGAGCTAAGAACTGTTTTTGGCTCAGTTAAAGGATCTCAGCTACAAGACCAGAAAGACCAGTGCACATATTATGGTATGCGATGTTGAGGACATTTTTCCCCATTCAAGTGCTCTGTTTATAGAGGAACTGCATTGATATACATAAGCCTTTGATGGTGATGCTTAACCATTGTTTTCTTAAGAATGCATGAACAATTTGACAGAGAAAGAAGAGAAGATGGTTAATACTGTATCACTTTTGATTATGTGTGGTAAGAGGAAGAGAATCTGAATATTCAAAAAGAGAATAAACCCACAGCGGTTCATACTTGAAAAATGTTTTACCATCAGCAAGGACCATTGTACAGATATACACTAATATTTGTGGAACATTAAGCCTGTAAATAACATTTTGCATTTACATGAATAAGCACACTTTTGTAATTTTAGAAGAAACTAAAAGGCAGGAATCCAACTGAGTGCTCTATATCCAGCAATCGTTGTTGTTATCATCAGAAAACTATAACCCAAATGCATTCAAGAACTGCTTGCAATTTGCACCATGGATTTAGGGGGAGGGTTGCTTCATCATTAGGCTATTGATCTAGAAGCTGCTGCATTCTTCTCCATTTGTTGCTACACCCCACAAACTCCGTAAAGATGGGTGCCTGATACTACACAGTGCTGATATTAAACAACGATGACAAGAGCAAGTCTATCACGGGAAACAGCTCCTGGATCTGTTTGCATGCAGGAAATTTTAAAGCTTGACTTAATCTAGAGCCGAACTCTTTTCACTCCCTCTTCTCCCAGCCAGATTTGGATATCTTTTGCACTAGCATAAAACTAGTTTAAAACAATTTTTCTGTGTGTAATCGAGAGTAGAATCTGGCTCAAAGAATACAAACAAAAATGTAACATCATATGCTGTAGTGGTGGAGCAAAAAACAGTCACCAAAAAAATTAAGATGTTTTAAAACTGCTACTTTAAAAATATTTTAAAGTTGTATATGAATAAAAACATTTAAAGGTTTCTAAAGAAGCACAGCTAACTTTATACATAGATTTTTTTATTTTTTTAATGTTTCTAGGAAAAAGTCTATCAGTTAATTAAAGATTTGATGCATTTTTAAACACATGAATATTTTGCACTTAAGCCTATTATTAAGATGCCCCTTACTATATCAACAAAAGGATACTTTAAAACCTTAGGAAATACATACTGATTAGAGATATTTATGTATATTAAATTTATTTTATCCATCTATGACATAATTCTTTCAAAGCAAAGTTTCATGTAGAACCTTAATCACATCAGGCAGTGTGTTTATAAGCAAGGTTCTATTTTGTTTTGTTTTGTTTTCGATGTTTGTTTTTTATTTGGATGCTAATTAAGGAATGTGTTTTTACTGTTGAGTTTTTCATAACAACAGGAAGATCCTTTCAATGCAGTCCTACGGGAGAGAGGAAATATACCTGTTATTTGTCTTACTGTTCTTTGGTACAAATGTCAGTATTAGCAACTAAGCTAAGTTTTTGAGTGTTCCACCTTACTGGTTCAACTAACCTGTCCTAAAGGTGGTAACACATATCACTATATTAGGAGGCACTATTAGATAGAAAAGTGTAACCAGTAGATGTTTATCATTAGCCCTCAGGGAAGTAGATGTCTCTGTTTCATGGCATTCAAAATATCTCCACTGTGGTTTAACATGGAAAGAGGTTGAAGCCACGCATGTCCTCATTGTTCTCACACTGTGGAGGCTGTTAGCCAGGGAGGGACTGTGCCATGAAGATACAAGTAAAGTACAGAACATTGCTGCATGACCCTAGAAGCGTTCCAGGGACAGCAGGGCAGCAGAAGCCCCAGCTCCTACCTTCTTTATATCCTTTATTCCAGGGGGTAATTTGTTGGTAATGTGTACTGGTTGGTACACAGGGGATAATTTGTTAGTAATAACTCCTGTCATGTCGGCTTAGATGTGCTGGCTGGAATGAAGGTAGGAGTAGATCGATGACTCCACCTGTTCCACACCTACCTGGTCCTATTGGTTGTAGAGTTGCAGGCCTACTTCCTTGATTCTGCTCAGATCAAAGACCCCAGTGGTCCAGGGTCTTTTATACTACAGAAATGTAGTCTGAGCCATTTATACTACAGGAATGTAGTCTGAGCCACAGGTTGGTCTTGAATATCATGACTACCTAGGGGTCACCTGAGGCAACAGTGTTTTTTATCATTAAAACGTACAGAGTCAGGTTTAGCAAAGTATATTGAATATTCATATTTCTGAGCCAAGCAAGGCTCAAAAGCTCACAGGTTCCCTAACCATTGATTCTCAGCACAAATATGTATGGGATTTGTTAATTTTATGTATCCTCATGAGTCCCATTAGAATTACCTGCCTAAAAGGGTGCTACTTTCATGCTTCAGTTATCCCCTGCTTCTGATGTATCTTGTCCTACCCAGAGATTGTCCCAAACTGAAACACTGGACTGAAATGTCTTGACTTGCTCCCATCTCCACAATGGACCTCACCAGCATTGAGATCCTCGTCAGACTTTGAGAAAGTTTGGACTCAGAATTGATTCTGACTGACCTCTGCAGATCAGCATAATGTCTAGACCTCAGAACCTATTACAAAGAACCTATCATACTTATCAGTAAATACATAGCGATAAAAAGTTTCTTCTAACAGGACAGTTTGAGCAGGGATACGTAATTTGCCAAAGAACTATTATGCATTGTATCTGAGCCTTGATGACCAATACTCATGCAAATTAAGTTACAATATAGATTTCCATTTTGGAACGACATCCACATAACCTGAATCATGCAGATAATTTGAGTAGCCTGGCAAAGGTTTTACTGCTGGTTACATTGCTATAAGTGTGAGGAATCATTTTTTTCATTAATTGAATATCTTCAAGATGATATAAATTATAGCAACAAAATTATACTTGTGCCTCCATACATTAAAAGAAATGCACCATCCTGTAAAAAACAAAAAAAAGCAGGAATTCACATCCACCACCCTGGAATCAGTAATGTTTTACACTGCAACTGCTCCCATTGGTTATGGAAAAGTCTGCACCCATTTGTTCTATTAACCCTGGCACAGTTAGTCAGCTCAGCCTGGAGGTTGTTGTGCTGTTGCATAATATAATTAATGTTCAGCTCATGGGTGAAAAGAAAGCTGGTGGATGTAAAAGAGAAAACTGTTTATGTGATACAAAATTTCCCAGCAAACTGAGTTACTCAGAAAAAAAAATTTTGGATCTGGCAAAGCTTAATTTCAACAAGATTGATCTCATGCTTAAAGTTAAGCATGTAGCTAGGTGTCTTGTTGTATTGGGTCCTAATAAAAGAGAAACTCACAGACTTTGGGTGTTGTGTCACTTTCCTATCCTTTCCATCTCATATTTCAGAGTCTGAAAATTTGCCCCTCCCTAAAACAAAAATCTTTGGCTACAATCTATGGTTTGTTACACAGATGAAGTCACTTTGGATTTCCAGTGCTGTAAATGAGAGAATTTGGCCCCTGCTCTTAAAGACTCCTTCAAAATTGTGAAATACTTCCCAGAGTGGCTCAGTGGGAGTTTTGCCATTGACCTCCATGGGACCGGAACTTCATTTCTACGGTGCTCACATTGAGTTGTAAAGTTCTGTAACCAGGACCTGTTCCACTTATTGGCTGAATTGTATTCAGTATTGGCTGAATAAGGACTTCAGACCCTTCATTTGTAAATCTAAATTTTAAAAGCTAGTGTTGTGTGGGCTTTGGTAACTGATGATATAAGCGTCGCTTTCTGGGTTGCAGTTCAGCCTAAAAAACACTGGTGTCTGCTGTAAATGCACAGCAGAGTGGTAATTTTCCTCCTGGCTCAGTCATCATTGGCGTGCCAACTTTATTTTATTTTTTTATATGTTTTCTGCAGGTGTTAAAAATGCATAGTTAGCTTCTGGGCTTGGGTTATATTTATTAACATTTTGTCAACATTTAAAGGGTGGAGAAACCCATTTTTTTCCTAGTGTCCTTTTAATGCTGTTTTTATAGAGAACTTTTCATTCATCTCACTGAATACCCTTGTAAATGTGCTTAAAACCATGCACTTGTTTCAGTGTCTGGTTTGGATGTTTTCTTCTAGCCGGCCATCTGAGTTTTGGCATCATCCATTGCATGGCTTATTCCAGGGTTTCTTGAAATTGTATGTCAGTTATTTGTAACCTGGTTAAATGTTTTCAATGGCAAATTTTGAGTTTATATAAATACTGCCTGATTATTCATGCCAAGGAAGAAATCTGACCTAGTGTTGTTTAAAGCAAACAGTGAATAACACTAATATACCCAGGTGAAACCAAAGAATTTTTCTATTAAAAAGGCACATTGATAAAATTTGGCAATAGCAGGCTTCATCTCCTTGATTTACCTATGATCAAATATTAAAAAGAAAAAGAAATTCTATACGCATTATGCATTGCTCTTTTTATTTCCCTGAGTTTGAGCTCTAGACTTTTTAAAACTTGTTAGGTGGTAGGATTTATGAAATAGCTACGCAGATGTTTAACGAGGAATTTATTCCCAACATCCTGCAACAAAAGCCGTTTGCAACTTTTTTATTCACATTGCTGAGTTCAGATGGGCAACTGTTGTTTTCCAACGTTTAACCCACCATCCCCAACACTGTTGTCTAAAG